TTTGGTGTACCACAGTACAAGAACTGGTATTCATTTCACCCTGAAGATTGTGGCATTTCAGTCATGATAATGCTCATTGTCTTTTGAAATACCTCAGGAAAAGAGACATGCAGTTCAAACTCCCTTCAAAATTAATGAAACATGACATTAGCATATACAGCATGGCTTGGGGAAACTTTGGAGTAGATGAGCCATATAAGGTATGCTCAGATATATTCTGAAACCATGGGGAGAATTGTATACATATTTATGCATGAAAGAATAGGCAATTTAAGTCTTTCCAGGTCTTCTGTCCTCTTGCCAAACCCTTCTCACACACCAAGCTAAGTATGTGTATTTAACTTTCCTTTATCAATAGGTTAACACAAGACATCCTGCCAGCAGGAGAAATTTGACTGAGGGGTTAGCAATAAAATTATTTTGAGATCAAAAAAATTAATGAAAACTTCAGAATACACTTGGCTACAGGCTTGAGTATAACCTTAGAGGGTTTTTTTTTTGTTGTTGTTAGTGGCAAAGGTGAAGCTGAGATGGTTAATGTCTTGCCCAAGATCTAATAGCTTAGTTACTATTAGAGGCAGGACTATATTTACAGTTGCTGAATGCTTGGTACAGTGAACCAACAAAAAGTGGCAGTTGACTATTAGAGTTTAGGATAAATGGGGCATTGGAGTGGAAATGGTTAATGCTAATAAAAAGATACAGTGTACAGGTGGTTTTTAGCTTAGGAGAAATTCTATTATTGGTTGCTTTTTCTTCCTTTACATATGCTTGCCTTTACAGTTCCCATTTCTATGACTTTTTTTTTTTTAAAAGATTTATTTATTTATTCATATGGAACTGGGGTACAGGCCAGAGACGTGGAGGGTGAGAGGATTCACCAGAGACAGAGAGAGGAGCAGAACAGGCAGATCGACAAAGTACACTGCTGAGGGGAGCAGCGGGCGGGTCAGGAGAGGTCTGCCTCGCCATGTGGTCACCTCCGGGGCAGGCAGGAATCGAACTCATGGGGAAGTGGCCTTAGCTTCTCAGTGCTGTGCTTTAACCCACTGTGTCACCAGGGAGGGCCTCTATGACTTTTTTTTTAACCTTATTTAGAACGAATTTGTAAGTGAAATATTTGTGATACTAACAAAACACTTCAATTAAAAACATGTTTCTCCTTTTTCATAACCTCTTCTTTTGGTGAAACTGTTGCCACTGCTAAATTGCAGCTGTTAACATCTCAGTGATTTATTAGAGCAGTTATAGTATTCAGTTATAGTACTGTTAGATGGAGTAAAAAGGGGAAAAAACTATACATAATTTGAAAAAGAGAGAACACATAGCACTATATGAGAAGGGAAGAGATGAGATGCAGGCTTTGCTTTCTATTTGAGAAGTCAGTACAATGTTTCTAAGATATACAAATACACCATTTTGAGGTACTAAAGTTAGGATTATCTTTCCTCAAAATGATCCAGGCCATTTATATCTTCCTCTTTCAGAGGTGACAAATGGTTTATTTAAGTCTTATAAGAGTATAATTGGTAAACAATAAACTGCATGTATTCATCATACACAATTTGATAAATTTGACATACACACACACACACACAGATAAAATTATCACTACATTTGGATAATTACATTATCACCAAAAATTTTCTTTTGATTCTTTCTTTTATCCTACCTATCCTCACTGCCTCACTATAACTGATTTCTAGAGCCACTATAGATTTCTAGGATTTTTTGTAATTTGCATCATATAGTATATGCTCACTTTTTTAAAAAAATTATTTATTTAATCATACAGAACTGAGTGCAGGCCAGAGGTACAGGGGTGGTGTCTCGCCAGAGACAGAGTGGGTAGCAGAACAGGCAGATTGACGAAGTATGCTGCTGAGGGGAGAAGCGGGAGGGTCAGGAGAGGTCTGTTACGCCATGTGGATTGCCTCCAGGGTAGGCTGGGATCAAACTCATGCTGAAGTGGCTTTATCTTCTTAGTGCTATGCTTTGACCCGTTGCGCCACCAGGGAGGACCCAGTATATGCTCACTTTTATTTCTCTCGGGATATTTTTAAATTCATTCATGTTGTAGAATGTTTCCATATACTTTCATTTGTGACCACATTTCCATTATATGGCTATATCAACTATTAATGGGCATTTGGGTTTTTCTGTTATGCTGCTATAGCGAAATTGCTATGGATTTTGTCTTTGTATGCACATTTACTTTGTTTCTTTGGGGATCATACTTAGGTGGAATGGCTGGTCATAGGGTAGGTGTGTGTATATTTAATTTTAAGAAACTGTCAGCTATTTTCCAAAGTGGTTGTACTTTACATTTCTGTCAGCAGTGAATGAGAGTCCAAGCTGCTCCATATTTTGCCAATACTTGATACATTCAATCTTTTAAATTTTCATTATTCTTACTAGCTGTGTCATGGTAATATGTGGTAGTTTGTTTGCATTTCCCTAGTGACTAAAGCTGTTCAGCATCTTGTGTTTATAATTTCATGTAATTTTGCTGGTGACATTTGTTCAAATTTTTTGCTCCTTACAAAACAAATGGTTGTTTGTCTTCTGATTGAATTTTGAAAGTTGTTTATATATTATATGTGAAAGTGCTTTATCAGATATACAGCTCTTTTTTCCTCTTTAATGGTATGACTTCATTCTTTCACCATATTTTAAAGAAGGGAAGTATTTAATATTGATGAAGTACAGTTTATCAACTTATTTTTATTGTGGGTTATATTATTGATGTTATACCTTAGAAATCTGTGCATAACCCAAAGTCACAACGTATTATACGTTTTATGTCTATGATAGATTTTAAATCAGTTTTTGTAGTTGCATGAGGTATGGATCAAAGTTAGTGCTTTTTGCTTTCAAATGTCCAGTTATTCCAGCAAAATTTGTTGGGAAAAAGCTATCCACCACTGCATTGTCAATGTACCTTTGTTTATAATTTGTTGTCTGGTTATGGGTGAATCTTTCTAAATGTTCTGTTCTGTTTCACTGTTCTATACTGTTCTGAGCACTGTAACATTTTGAAAATTCTTGAGATAAACATAGTATTAATGTTGAAAGTTCAATCTTTTTCAAAGATGTTTTGGCTACTCCTAATAGTGCTTCCTTAATATTTCCATATTAAGTTAAGAATGGATTTGGCATTTTTACCCAAAAAAGCCTGCTGGAATGTTCAGTGAGATTGTATTAATCTATAGGTTACTTTTAGGTAGGATTGTCTTCTTAACAATGTTGAGTCTTCTTACTTATTAATATGATAACAATTCCACTTGCTTTTGTCTCTAATTTTTGTTAGCAAACTATGGCATTCAATATTTCATATATTTTACCATTTTCCATGTAAGTAGACACACATTTTATTTATTTATTAAAATTATTTTCACTTCCTTGAATGAAAACCAGTATCACTTGCCTTGATTGAAAGTTAATTTGGACAATCATTGATAATCGTGTTAAATTCTAGGTAGACAATGTTACTTGCTGAGATTCTTTTTAATTTTTTTCTTAAAAATGACAAATAACAAGTCTTAAAATTCTGAAGATGTGATTACATTAAGCTGTGGGTTTTATTTTCTGTTATGCTTCCATGTCTTTAAAATAATAGGAAAAAGAAAGTGTTTTCTCATTAGGTTATCCATTGTACTGTAATGAACCACGTCGCACAAAAAACTCATGTTTCATACATTGGATGTGGATTCCATAGTTGGAATAACTGTTTTTTAAGGAAGGGTGATTTGAACAAACATTTAGCAGTGGGATAAAGTTTGTGTGTGATGGGATCGACAGAGTTTAGAAATTTTGAGAGTTCTAAACCTTGGTTGTATATGAATCATCACCTTGAGCATTTGAAAGACTTACATTAAAATAATCATACAACTTAGATTGGGGTATCTTTATTTTTTTAAAATTTCCTCAGGTAGTTTAATGCTTAGGACTGGTAGAGCCATAGGCTAACATCTTGGATATGGATATGGGAGGGTGTGATGTTTGTGATGGTGTGAAGTGGGTGAGCAGGAGAAAATCCAGGTTGATTAGCAATGTCTACCATGGAATGGAAGAAATGTCATTGTTACTTGCCTTAAGGGCCAGACTATGAACTGCTTGTAATGACTACTTAATATTATTTTGAAGAAGTGACAGAGTTCTGGCTTTCCTTTCCATTAAAAACATTAACGTATATTCTGCCTTAACTAACAGAATCAAAGTTTGAATGAGTAAATAAACAGAAGGATCTGAATGAATCAGTTCTCAGTTACTTATCTGTTGGCTTCATTGTGCTCTATAGCCCATTTAAAATTATGCATCTTTTAGATGGGTGACGTTTGGAGCCTGCAAAAACTATACTTTCTCACTAACATTGATCATGCTTTTATCCTGGAGATTTCACTTGGGAAAAAAGGGGCGGGGTGCGGGGGGAAGAAAACCTCACTTCTACAATTTCAAACTTGCTAAAGAGAACCCTGGAACTGGGTTTGAAAAAAACTGGAATCTAATTTAAGATCAGTCAAAGGAAGGGGACAGACGTGAAGATTACTTCATAAAAATGAAAGTCGAAGGATTTATGGGAAATAAGTTAGAAAAGGACTTCATTAAGGAAGGGACATTCTTAGCCCATGAAGGCAATTTCTGGCATGTCCCACCTCCCCTCCTCCCAGACGGACCCTCCTCTCCGCCCCTGGCCCTCCCTCCAGGGCCTCTTCTCTGAGCCCGGACTCCCGGAGGGCGGAGTAGCTTCTCAGGCTGTCTTTCTCCGGCTCAGAAGTGCCCCGGGACTCCTAAAGGCACACCGGCAATCTACGCTTCTTAGCATCCCAGGCTCTTCGAAGAGGTCATCCCCAAGTCGCGACGGGAATTGTGTAAAACTGTTGAGGTGTGGGTGGGAGGCAGCTGGACACCCACAGGCCCTCCAGCCCCCGCCCCAGGGGTAGCTGTGGGCAGCACGCTCGCACTCACGGGTGGCTATTCTCGCTGGACACGTCTCCGAGATGGAGCAGTCACAGTGTGACAGTGGAGATCGCAGCGGCCGAGCCCACCTGGCCCCGGGGCTGGTGGTGGCGGGGCCGCCGGCCGGGTCGCCCGCGTTGCCCGTGCCCCCGGGGATACCGGTTCCTCCAACTTTCCTGCGGCCGCCCAGCCTCTTCCTGCGGGCAGCCGCCGCCGCCGCTGCAGTAACCACTGGAAGCGGAGGCTGCCCGCCGGCTCCAGGTCTGGAGAGAGGGGTGGGCGTGGTGGGCTGCGGCTACCCACGGACACCCAAGTGCGCCCGTTGTCGCAACCATGGCGTGGTGTCGGCGCTCAAGGGCCACAAGCGCTTCTGCCGCTGGCGGGACTGCGCTTGTGCCAAGTGCACCCTGATAGCCGAGCGCCAGCGCGTTATGGCTGCCCAGGTGGCGCTGCGCAGGCAGCAGGCCCAGGAGGAGAGCGAGGCCCGGGGACTGCAGAGGCTCCTATACACGGGACCCTCGGGGCCCGGGAGTCGCGCCCCGGGTGGCAGCAGGCCCGAGAATCCGCAGGCTTCCAGCGGCCGTGCTGCGGAGGCGGCGACTGCGCTGGGACTGAGTGCCCTGAGACCGGCGAGTGCCCTGGCAACCCCTGCTTTCGACGTTTTCCAGGCAGATTACACTGAAGAAAAACAAGGTAAGTTGATGTTTCGTTGTTCTTTGCAAAAGAAAATGGTTGTTCTGCAAACAAACTCGTTGAAACAAGCAGCCACGTCCTGCAGGCAGGCCAGTGATGTAGAGCAGCACGTAGGTTTTAGGAAACTGCCCTGCGATATTGTTATCTGTTGTTGCATCACTTTTAAAGAATCCATAGGCGGTGGGATAAGGCAGTTAAACATTAAAGAGTAAGCGATTCACAGGAGCAACTTTTGCAGAGAATGGAGCTGTGTGTCTGCAATTGCGGTGATTGTCTTTAAGTAGAACTTAGTAGGGACATCCAGAAAAAAGTTTAGTGTGAGGTCCTGGATTTTAATCTAGTTCAATACCCTCTTCTGCTGTAAACCCAGAGTTAGTCTCTTGCTCTAGAATAGAGAAACTCAGCGATGCTTGGGAGCGCCATTGGGACAAATCTTTGGCACCAGTTAGAAGGGTAGAGGCAGAAATCTACCTTTTTATCACCTCTCCTTAATTTTTTTTTAAACAATCCAATTTTCCTTAACTATTTTATAGCTTCTAAAAGTGCATGATGTTCTAATGTTTGATGTTTCAACTCTTTCCATAGGAAAGAAACTTAGGTCCTCCACATTTGTAAAACTATTGGCTATGAATTTAAAAGTTCAATATTGTGGATTTCTTCACCAGTTTAACTTTTCCCCCTTTATTCTTTGACCCCAGATCACTTTTATCCTTTGTGTAGCTTAAAAAGAAATCCACATACCTATTTTATATCTACTTATTTTGATTAGGTCAATTCAAATGAACTTTTCCTGTTAATGTATATTCTACCATATCTTAGTGAATATCATAGCTCTTTACTGGGCCCACTTGCAGTGAAAATGTCATTGCAGTGTTTTCTCAGAAATACAAAGATAGGTTGTATCATATGAGGTTATATGATAATGATATAGTAGCTTATTAATTAGAAAACTTCCTTGAAGTGTGAATATTGCAGATTTTAAGAGATCATAGGATATACTTTTGAAGCACTCTCTTCCATATGTAAGTGTGGCATATATCATTTTGTGTATACTCAATCTTTTTGCGCATCTTAATTTAAATCCTTAGACAAATTTGACTCAAAAATATCAGAGGCCTGAAAAGGCCTGAGAAGCCAAAATTACAATAGGGTAGAAGCGAAAGTTAGAATTATATAAACTAAACTGATTGATCATGCGACAACTCTGCTAGACATTGTTTTGTGTGACTGAGTTTTTTAGTCAGTTTTTTAGGAGTTCCCCAATCAGTTTTTTTATAGGATCAATTATTTTATTATTTGCCACAATTGACCCCCAATATCTAAACATCTACTTCCATGGCTTTTCTAAGCTGGTTGCTTTCTCTTGCATAAATCTATGAATTATATTAAGGTAGTTTATTTAACTTATCCATTAGATGAAGACAAACAGTGGTGCAGAGATGAATAAGACTTTTCTACACAAAAGAACTTTATATTAAAAAGGAAGAAAGTGATATGTATCCAAAAACTGCAAGACATGATATACAATAACAAAAGTAAGGAAGTAAACAGAATTACAGGAATTGCGAAGATAGAGAGATGAGATGAATGATATCATAATATTTTAGAGACACTTTTCTAGGTAGTCTCATGCAGTTAGTCTTTTATTACATAATATTGTACTCCACAGATACAATAAGATAACAAAAATATTGCACATAAATTGCTGTAGAGATGAATTTTGAAACTTTACATAAGTGGGCATGCTAGTAGCAGACCAATGCCAATCTATTGTCATTTGTCAGACTTTATTAGAAAACTTTAGCATGTTAAGTTGAAAATACTAGAAACTTTGCACTTTTGCAGGAGCAGCATATTTTGTTTGCTCTAATGCTTAAGTTATATATCATATATAAGCCTCAAGGTGCTAAATGGCATGAACACTTTAATTTTACATTAAACATTAGATTATTTCTTGAGAAAACAGAAATACTGCAAATAGTGACTGAAAATCATGATTTTAGATAGCATTTCTCCTTGCATAAACTTTGTAGAAAAGAGTTTGACAGAAATACTCTATGTATCCTACTTGATGTTTACTTTTTCTGATAAGAAGAGATACAATGTCCCTAATGTAAGAGGAACTATATACTAAAATAACAATTTTTCAGCCCAAGTAGGCATTGAAAAACATCTTTTTGTGTGAAAATATTTTTGAAAAATTTGCTCTAAATAATAGAAGAGTTTCCTCTTCTGGTAATTTGAAGCACATTCACAATATCATGCTTTCATAACATTTTGAAGATTCATACAGATTGTATGAATGTGTTATTGCAATTTACAATTTACTTTTCTAAACAACTTCATTGTAAACTCTTTTTTAAATACTTCCTAGGGGTCAAAAGAGAAAGTCCATATTTCACAGAGGGTTATGAAAAATACCAACTTATCTTTCTTGTAAAACAATAAGCATGGACTCTCATATAATTGGAGATTGGCACAGTAGTCGGTAGTCATTATTGGTGTATATTTTGAAATGAAATGAATGCTTTATTATTTTTCACATTACTCAGGTAACTTAGAACTTGAAACATGAGCATTAAAACACCAGTTGTTGAGATTTAGCACTAGTGATGAAATAGAATATTTATTTTCATACTAACATTGTCCCTTCTTTTTATTTTTATCTGAACATAATGATTTATTTAGTTCATCTTACATAGTGCCACTGTGAAAAAAAAAAACCTACTTGGATAACAACAAAACTTGGGTAACATTTAGGCAAATCTCAACTTATCAGGTGGGGCAAATAGTGTAAGATATTTGTGCAATTTTAACTTGTGGGAGTAACAATACACTCTTAACTTCCCAAGTCTAAAGAAACTGTAGCATTTATATATTGTGTATCTTTGTGATCCTGAAAGGACATAACAAGTGGCATTTCCCACTACTCTATTATAATTTTATCATTTGAATTTCTTATAATGAATAAGTATTGCTAATATATTATGAGGTCAATGAAAGCTTTTATCCAGTATCATTTGTGTGGGGGCAGTACTATGTTCTGGGAAGTTTTCCCTTTACTTGATTCTTTTTTTCTTCCCCAGAACAAAAAGAGAGTAAATGTGACTCGTGCCAGAGTATACAAGAAGAATTGGTCTCCAAATCACATCAACTTACCCTGGGATCATCTCCTGAGTCTAATGGTATCATTGGAAAACAAAATGTCAGGTCATCTATTTCAGAAAACTCGAACAAGGATGATAGCATTCTGTCTCCTCACCCTGGGGAGCAGTCAGGAGGTGAAGAGAGCCCCAGGTCTTTATCCTCCTCTGACCTGGAGTCAGGAAATGAGAGTGAGTGGGTCAAAGACTTCACAGCCAGCAGAGGCAGCCTTCCCACAGCATCCTCCAGACCAAGAGACCCGCTTGATATCCTAACCAAGATTTTCCCAAGTTACAGGCGCAGCCGGCTAGAAGGCATTTTGCAGTTTTGCAAAGGGGATGTGGTCCAAGCCATCGAACAGGTTCTCAATGGCAGAGAGCACCGAAAAGGCGCCAGGGACCTACCAAGCTCAGGAGAACTGGAAAACACAGCTTTTCAGAGAGTTTCCAATTTTAATTTAGCTGGAATTGGTTTTGGAACTCTAGGGAATAAATCAGCCTTTTCTCCTCTTCAAACCACTTCAACTTCTTATGGAGGTGATTCAAGTCTATACAGTTTAAATCCTAGACTAGGTATCAGTCCACTACGGCTGGCATATTCTTCTCCAGGAAGAGGGCTATCTGGTTTTATATCTCCCTACCTCACTCCTGGGTTGGTACCAGCTTTGCCATTTCGGCCAGCTTTGGATTATGCCTTTTCGGGGATGATTAGGGATTCTTCCTACATTTCCAGTAAAGACTCATTAATTGGTGGCAGACTATATTCCCGACCAAATCAAGACAATCTGTAATGTATCTGCCCATTCTCTCTTCTGGAATATTATTAGAGGCATGCACTACAGACCCCTTCCCCACACCCTCACCCCCACATTTGTTAATGTGGTTCACAATATATGTGAGTGAATTATCAGGTCTTGAAAATGCTCTATTTTTTCAAACAGTATATCGGGTTTGCAATCTGATTACTCTTAGCATTTATTAAATGACAGAAACATTTTAACGTTTTATGTGCCTTGAATAAAGCTACTTCTGGAAATATTTTTACTTTAATGAATTTTCTCCTTAAGCGATCGGTTGTAAAATTCATATTTTAAAACTATACCTCTCTTTATTTTATTAAAACAAAATTGTGAAATATGTTAGTGCCTGCACTCCAGCATTGATAGAAAGAGCCAACAGGAAGAACTGAAAAATTGAGTTACTGTAAAACTTTAAAACTTTTCCTTCCCCTTGTTCCTTGTATACAGGAAGTTTATTCAAGTATTTTAAAATATTTTATCTGTATATAAAATAATTAGTAGTATGTAAAACATTTAAAAAAATTGTAGTTTAAATTTTTGTGAATATCTTATTTTCATTCATTTCTACTATTTGTGATAGCAAGTTCCATAAATAAAACACTTTTCTTTCAAGTTTAAAATTTCAGAGGGTGCTAAAATAAAACTTAGGAAATGAGACTACGCCATCTCCTGGCTACTATCCCAATTGCAACTCGGTTCTGGTAGCGCTTAGGAATTAGAAAATAGTTTCTTAAATAGTCTAAGTTAATAATTAAAAAAAAAAAAGTCATTTTGGGCCCTCCCTGGTGGCACAGCGGGTTAGGACACAGCACTGCAAGTTAGCCGCAGCTACTTCAGTGCAAGTTCGACCCCCTGCCCCGGAGGTGATCCACATGGCGCAGCAGACCTCTCTGGTCTTGCCCACTGCTCCCCACAGCGGTTTACTTCCTCAATCGGCCAGCTCTGTCCCCCACTCAGTCTCCAGTGAATCCTCTCACCTTCCCTGCACTTCTGGCTTGTACCCCAATTCTGTATGCATAAATAAAAAAAATCTTAAAAAAAATAGTGATTTTGAACCATATAGCCTGGTAGTTTTTATAACAAAACAAACATCCTTAATAGACAAGAATCTTAATCTTTAAGTGTGCGATCCCTTCATCTGGGTAAATATCTCCTTCCATATGTTTGTGATAAGAACTTCACAGTGGTCCTGCCAAGGTAAATATATATTATTCAGAAAATTTAAATTGCTGCTCAGATAAATACCAATTAACTTTACATAGATGATGCTGAATACATTGAAGAGTGACATAAGATAGGGAAAAATTGTCATTAGAGGCTTTTCTAGGAGTTTAAAAATACATTTTGTTCTCCATCTGGAGCATTTGAAAGCTATTTATATCAGTTAGTGGAAAGTCCCTGAAAAAACTGCTTATAAAACAGTTTTATGAAGTTGTTTTAATGTCATCACTTTTTTAAAGGACAGTACTTTATTGTTATTGTGAGGAATCAGTGGTAGCCCAGCTGAGGCAAAGAGAGTTGATGAGTTAAAGATGGTTTTGAGAATATAAGTAGTATGATTCACAAAAGACTTCTTAATTTATCTCTGATTGTGTTTGTTTGTTTATCTATATATATGCATATAACTATATGTACATGTATATTATAAACTCAAGCCCTATCAGTTCTTATCATGAAGGCTTTTTCATGAAGCCAATTAAGAATATATTCTAAAATATGTATTTCCTAGGAACTATTATATTAAATGATTGAATAGTATCTTATGCTGAGGATATGTTTAATAGGCTATGACTTAATAATGTAATTGTGAGAAAGCATATCTTATAAAATTTGATAGTCAATAATTATTATTTATAAAAAGTATTAGGTTCTAAGCCTGAACTATAGTATAATGCCTGATCAGTAATTGATATTTTACTAATATATACCAAGTGGTCTATTATTTTGCATAATAGGTCTCTAGAGTTTAGTAATGATATTTTTGTATCTACTTGAGAGATTGAATTACTTTTAAAATGGAAAGAACATTAATTTTGGGCAATATTTAAATTTTTATAAATAATTTTGTAATCTTAAAACTTAGTTAACTTTCATGAGTATCATTTCATATGTTTCCAATAATTTTAGAGATAAAATAGATGTATAAATAGGTTAGTTTGGTCAACCATTAACTTGTGGGTGAGAAAATAGAGCAGAGTTCATCTTCATGGTTAAAATAATAGAGTGAGTCATAAGGATTGGAAGTTGCTTCACCAATTTCAACTAGATTGTAAGATCTGAAGGAGGATTCTTATCTAGTCTGTAGCTCTATGATTTATGGAACATAATAGGTGCTCAATAATAGTTTTCAATAGGCTGAATTAAATCGAGATAAAAATAAAAATACTAGTTCAGGAACTCATTCACCCACTATTTATTCAACACCTACTTTGTACCTGCCACTGTAGTAGAACATAGGGGATAAAAGGTGAACAGGACACCCAACTTTGCCTTAAATTTTGCAGCCTATATGAAAACAGCAAATCAAAGAACGCTGGTTACTATTTGAAAATGTGTTCTGTGTAATCCTGATGTTTGTGGCCTTGGGTGTTACTTGAAGCCTGATCTCCTAAATTACTAATTAGGATTAGGAAGAAAAAGGGGTGACATCTGTTTTCATGTTGTTAATTTAGGGACATCCATTCCATGTGCCCGAAAGGTAAATAACTTTTAGATCTATGGCGATGAAGTGAGCAGAGAGGAAGTTTTGTTCACTTGAAAGGAGTCTTGTTTGGAAGTCACCCTAACATCTCATAGTCTCTGGGTCAGTTACTGTATGGCCCAATCCCACTTTCAGTTTTGCTTTGTAGAACTCTTCCATTTCAGGATGCAGAGGTGTCCAGGTTTAAGCTCTTTCTAGCTATTCTTGGAAAATGAATTAGAATTGAAGATAATGTGAGCCAAATGATCTGTTTCCTTTTTTTCCTGTACTTCTGCTAAAACTTAAGGATTCTGGCAGCTTTTAGACCTTCTCTCCTAGAAATGTCTATCTGTGAACTTACATACATGCTTATTTTTGAAATAAAAAAGTCCTCAGAATATAAGAGAAGCTTGGGAGATAAAGGACCTTCTTAAAGACTACAAATAGTATCATTTACTTGATGCATCACCAGTTTGAGAAAAGTAAGGCTTACTGGTCTTCATGAAGGGCAGTTAGAGTTTAGAAAGAGGTACATAACCTTTTGGTCAAGGACAGTGAGAAAAATTCTTGCCCAGATCCATTTCTCCCATGCCCACTCATTGCCAAAAAATCCTGTTACTTATGTAACATTACAAAACTAGAGCCTTGGTTACTTGATATCATCCACTCTGAAACAGAAACTGTTTTGATATAATGGCAGAGCAGCTGTGCCAAACACTAAAATAACTTTTGTTCACAATATTTTATTCATTTATTTATTCAAATGAGAGAACTTCATTACCATTATCTCTTTCTGAACTCCACACTAGTGATGTGTGTTTAAGAGAGACCAGATGATAAGGATGAGAACCATGAAGATGTCTGTTTCTCATTTTTGCTCACTTGGTGATTGAAAAATACTGGCATTTTAATTTTTGTATTGTGTCACAATGTCATCAATTCAAAATGACTACATTATGTAGGAAGTATGAGGAAGTACATCATTTAAAAATTAATGCACAAATGATGTCTTACCAAAGCATCTGTATCAAACAGTTGCTTTAAAATAGCATTTATTAAAATCCAGCCTAAAGCAAGTTCAGGAAAATGCAGGACCAAATATTGGGTACAATTTTGAGAAAAATGTAGGAAGTTGAGCAAAAATGGCAAAAAATTATTCATTGGAAAATCCATATCAGGAAATAAATCTTTAAAGTTCATTGTTATTTATGGACAATATATATTGGAGAACTGCAGCTGATCTTTTGGATGTCAGGATAAATTTTGACACAATTCTCACCCTGTCTCAATCAGGTGAGCCTATATAATACTCAAGACCTTAGTCATACAAAATGATCCATTGCACTCACAACTAACAGTGGAGAGAGATCTTATATTTTTTATGAGAAAAAGTTGTGTTCATTACATAGTAGTAAATTTACTATGGATTATTGTGAACCATGACTGTTTTTAAAAGTCTGTTGAAATTTACATTAGATTCATTAAAATGAAATACATAGGATGAGAGTTTTAAAAATAAGGTTTATAAGTATTTATTTAGAAATAAAGTGAGTAAGGTTTATTGTATATAGTGTAAAGTTCATAGGAAGTAAATAGTACAATAAGAAAATTCAGAAGAATATAAGAAAGAACTTTTTGGTGGTTAATAACAAAAAGTGAAATGGCTGCCTTGTGTAGAAATGCTTTCTCTATTCATTGAAGTTAATAAGTAGAAATTACAAGTCAGATCTGACTGATGGTATTATTTTTTAAAGATTTATTTATGCATACAGAACTGGGGTACAGATCAGAAGTGCAGGGGTGCTGAGAGGCTTCACCAGAGACAGAGTGGGGAGCAGAACAGGCAGATCGACAAAGTAGCTGCTGAGGGGAACAGGGGAGCAGCAGGCGGAACAAGAGAGGTCTGATGCACCCTGTGCATCATCTCCGGGACAGGGATCGAACTCACACTGAAGTGACTGCAGCTAGCTTACAGTGTTGAGCCCCCAGCCCACAGCACCACCAGGGAAGGCCCAGAGTGATGGTATTTTTATCAGTGTTGGAACTAAGTCATTTCTCGAACCAACTATGATAAAGTTTTCTCTTAATAAATGAGTTTTATTTCTAAGGCCATGAAAATGAAAACAGCTTATTTGTCAATAAAATTTGTTGCAGTTTGGTTCGTCAGAACTTTTTATGTATCGATAGCCTCTTAGTGGTAGATAACAAAGGAAAAAACAAAGTGCAGTGTGTGAATTTACAAGGATTCAGGGTGGACGAGGTTAGCATGAGATCAGTAGGCGTGCAAGGCATAAAAAAGATGAGAAGTGCTAAAAAAAAACATAGAAAAGCACTAAAGATAAAACTGAACACATTTTTGAAAAGTATGCACCATGTCTTTTGAGAAGGAGCACTTG